CAATTTAAGATTGGATAGCCTAGTATGAATCCTTTGAAGTGAATCAGTAGCCCTAGGAAATGGCAGCACCTAAATGACCTTGACTGATCTTAAAATTTCTTACTAGGGTCAGGCCTAGTTGATACTTGCATGGGAGTAAGTAGACTTGAGAAATGAAAAAAGACACCACAGAGAGGGCAAAGGCAAACCATTCTGTGCCTTTGATAAGAAAACAAGGACATGTGCTTATGGGATAATCAGGAATGAAGTTCAACTTGAATAACTCTTCATTTACCCTTGAGTGAATCTGTAAAAACTTTAGAGAATTGATCACTGTCAATAGAACATTATGGCTAAGCTGGGGCAACATTTCTCTCATACTATCAGCTAAAATATATTCGTATCAGTGTAGGTAATCCTCAACTTACAACCATTTATTTATGACCATTCAAAGTTACAACAGCATTAAAAAAGTCACTTATGACTGTTTTCCACACTTACAACTGTTATACCATCCCCATGGTCACATAATCAAAATTTGGCAACTGGCATGTATTTATGCCAGATAGTTACAATGTCCTGGGTGTCATGTGTCAACTTTTTGTGGCCTTCTTACAAGCAAAGTCAATAGCAAAGCCAGATTCACTTAACCACCATATTACCAACTTGATTAGTACAGTCATTCACTTAACAAATGTGGCAAGAAAGGTTGTAATACGGGACAAAACTCACTTAACAACTGTCTTGCTTAGCAATTGAAATTTTGGGCTTAAATTTTGTGGTTGTAAGTTGCGAACTACCTGAATTGAACAGCCTCCATTCCAAAAAAATTATAAATATTCAAAGATGGATTAATTGGTTTGGTTTTCTTTAAAAACTTCTGTTTCCCTGTATCTGTGATATTTAGCTAGCAAAATCTATTTAGTTGACTATGACTTATTTGTCAGGAAAGCTCCATATATCAGGCCATTATTATTAGTGCCCGTCACTGGAGGATTTTAAGAGGAGACTGGACAGCCCCTTGTCTGAAATGGTATAGAGCTGTGATGGCGAACCTATTGCATGCGTGCCACAGGTAGCGTAAAGCCCTCTCTGCGGGCATGTGAGCTGTCCCCCTAGCTCAGTTCCACCGTGCATGCGCTCATGCCTCCCACCAGCCATCTGATTTTTAGGTCTCTGCTGCGCATGGGCATGGGGCGGGACGCATGCGCAGGGGCAGGGGGGTTGTGCACACATGCATGGGGGTGGGGGAGCGGCGTTTTTGGCACACGATGACAAAAAGGTTAGCCATCGTTGGTATAGAGTCTCTTGCTTGAGCAGGGGGTTGGACTAGAAAACTACCAAGGTCCCTTCAAACTCTTGTTATTCTATGTTCTATGAGTGGGAAATGCACCCTGCTCTATCAAATGCATACTCCACTAATGACTTCTTTTTCTGTCTCTCTTTCATCCTGAGACATCCTTTCATCTCTGGCAAAGCTTTCCCATACCCTTTTGTGAGATGTCCCTGCTATTTTGCAGAATTCTTACTGCACTTCCTTGTTTTTGGCATGGCAGAGTAGAAAACTTTTCTGCATCCCAATGCAGTAGGAGTTTGTTGGCAGGACAAGGACTGCTCAGGATGAAAAGAAAAACATCATTCCAGTCCCTGTCCAGAGTGGGGGCATCTTAATTATATCTAGAGATGGGGTCAGACCCCATATCACATAATACTTCCTGTGTCACCTTTTCCTGCCTCTTTGTGTAGAGTACGATTTTTCTTGTTTGGACCTTGACAACAGTAGGGAATATCTTTCACATACTTCCTTAAATTCAGGACACTGAAGCAGAAAGAGCCTCTGTTTCATTATCCCCTCACTGTCCCTTTGGTTGCACAATTTCTTCTTTAGCCTGAGAGGTTCTTTGTTGTGCTTGTTGCATTTCCACCTTGATTTAACTACAAAAGAGAATGTTTACAATATCTTCCAATGAAGCAAAATAAACATTTCTTCTCAACATTGCCCAGAGCTAGACCTTAACCTGCTGAGAGACAGTAAGGTAAAAATTGGTTTACTGATCTGACTTTGAAGTCCTTTCTGATACTGAGAGCAGAGAGTAGCAATAGCTAAGAGCCTTTTCATTCATTAGCCTTGTGATAATAGCATGATTTTTTTTTTATCATAAGGGGGTAATCAACATTTCAGTATGAGCTCACTGCACATTTAAATTGGAGAGCAGCACTAATATTGCCAAAACAATAAATTGCTGTCATTGTTGTTCTTTGTTTGATAGGTTTATATCCTCCCTTTCCTCCAGGAGTTCAAGGTGGTGTAACGAGCACATCTAATTTTCCTCCACAGCAACCCTGGGAGAGAAAATCGCCCAGAATTCAGAAGTCACCCAGTGAATTTCAGTGGTTGAACCTAGACATGAATTTAAGTCTCCTCGATCCCCATCCAAGACCTTAATCTCTAAAACACACTAGACACTTATTATAAGATTTTTTTTAAAAAAAAGGAAGAATTGGACTCAGAGGGATCATACATGCACTGTAAGTTGCATTGTAAGACCTGAATAACCAGTTAGGGACAGATCAT